CGCAGCCTCGGCGGAGACCAGTGCCAACACTGAAAGGCCTTGACTTAACGCCATTTACTCTGACTCAGCAGCTGTTAGTAGCATATAGTGACTGGATAGCCCATAGCAAATGGTCATTGATCCGCTCTGTTCCCAGGCATTCCCACAGAATGTTTAGCGGAATACGGTTACAGGCTTTCTCTAGGCCAACAAAGCACACGTGCACCGCATGGGCGAACTCCCACAATCTGGCATAGGGCAAATATTTGGTCTTAGATGTTTCGATCGGTCCGGAAGCGACACTGCTCCTCTTGTAAGTTGGAGTCAGTTGTTCTGCGACACCTCTTTTCTGGGACCTTTGCCTACACTTTACATGGGAGGATCAATAACTTAATGTTCCGATAATTGCAGCAGTCCATGTGGTCTCCCTTCTTGAATGGTGGTGCAACAACTGTCGTTCTCCAGTTTGCTGGTGTCTTCCCCGTAGTCACTGCACTTTGACAGACACGTGGAAGGCAGCACATGCTAATGCTTTCAGCATTTCAGGGCGGATTTCATGAATTCCAGCAGTCTTTCCACTTTTCGAGCATTTCGCAGCTTGTGTAATTTCAACTGCAGAAATAGTAATATTCGTTACCTGCTACTTTACAGGCTAATCTTTCTGCTGTTGCTCAGAGTTAAGGAGTTCTTCACAGTACTCTGTTCATCGCCGAAAAATGTCCTTATCTTCGGTAAGAGGGTGTCCAGACATGTCCTATAAGACTCTTAGACTGCCCTTCTTTTCACTTCGAGCCAGTGAATGTTCAGCGAAAACAACTTGTTTTTTTGTATGGACATTCGACTCCAATACCTCACCGAATTTCACCCTGGAATCGGCATTTGGTTTTGCCACTGCCGTTGGCGACTTCGTGCGTGCTTCGACATATCGCACCCGAATAGAAGGCTCGTTGTTTTCTAGCCATTTCTTGAGTACAGTCTTCTTTTCTTTAACTGCCACTTGTACCTCTCTTGTCCACCAGGAAGTTCTTTTTTGACCTCCAGGCGGTAGGCCAACCCGTTTAAGTCCGCGCATTCAGTGGCCGCCTCGAGTAGGCCTCTTTTAAACAGCTGCCACTCGGTTTCAGCATCAGTTGTCATCAGTGGGATCTGTTCAAACCGTCGTGCGATGTTGTTTGCAAATTTCGTTCTCGTGCCCACCGAAGATAATGTTTCCTATTTGATTCTCTGGTTGCTTTTGCGACCAGATCTCCGCCTTTTCCTCCGTTTCTTACAGCGTAGCATTCCAACATTGAGGTGGCTATCGGTTGATTGCTCTGCGCCTCTCTTAACGCGAGCGTCTCAAGTCAGACGATGCGATTAACAGATCGATGATCATTTTCTGTGCACAAGTTTCGCGGTACCAGGTATACTGATGCACTCTTCGATGCTCGAAGGTGTTCATAATGGACAGTGCTTTGTTTGCATAAAACGTGAACAATTTCATGTCGTTATTAATGAGATCGCTAAGACCGTTCTTTCCAGT